GAATAGATAAGATCCCTAAAGTTGCAAAGACTAAAGTCTCAAACCCAAAGAGATATTCTTTATAAAAGTTAAGACTCGTCCACGCCCTCCTAAAACGCCTCGTTTAAACACGCCCCCACATGTCTACGTCATGATGTGGGAAGATTTGCATAACACTGCCCAAACGTTCACGCAAAGAAAGAAAGCGTAACTTTATTGTTGCTGCCACCGCCGCTGCCATGTTGTGAAGACGCTGTGTGTTTCCTTGCTAAAGCGAAAATACTTTGTTTGGCCTTCCAAAAGAGGACACGACTTGAAATCAGTGGTTAAGTTGTATTTACAACACTGTTCTAGAACAGTTCAACCCAATTACACCAAATACACAAAATAATGTTCTTTTTAGCAACATCATATGACCCCTTTAATTGATTTTTACTTAAAGGTACATATTATGCCCCTTTTTACAATATGTAATATAAGTCTCTGGTGTCCCCAGAATGTGTCTGTGAAGTTCCAGCTCAAAATACTCCACAGATCATTTATTATAACATTTTGTAAATGCTTATTTTGAGTGGAAGCAGAAACACGCTGTTTTTCGGGCCTGTTTCTTTAAATGCAAATGAGTTGCGCCTTTACAGCTGGTATCTGCTAAAAACATCTGGTTTGATTCTGATTATCATGTTTATCTCGCTGAAATCATGCGTTTTAAACCAAATGAGTTTAAACTTCTGACATACGGGTTTCTGAGTGCACATGAGGACAGAAAGCGGCTGTCACAGCACGTGAGTACTAAACTAAGTTCTCATTCACACAAAAGTTTACCTTAAAAACACACGAGTTACAAAAACAGTCGGTTATGTCTGTGAAGGTAAACTGCTGGGAAATAAATGGCTTGTTTATTTTAGATCTGTGTAGCAGCAGCAATTTACAGTAAATAATCAATAAATCTACTGCTCTCTTGTCTCCTCTGAGGCTGGGACTGTAAATAGTGTTCTGTGCTCGTCTGTGCAGCCTGAGACAGAACAGTTAGCGTGTTTTGCTCAAACTTCCGCCATGGCATTAGAGCTGGTACACCGTTGTCACTTGCGAAATCAAAATGAGGACGCTGTGGGTGGAAATTTACAGATTAAGGGGCGGTAATATTATAATGAGATCCCTTTGCCACGTCACCAAGGGAGCGAAATCTGACGCGCTCGTTTTCGCAGACGCTTGCAGAAAAAGGTTTCCCAAAACAAAGTTACTGGATTAATCTTTTTCACGTTTCCTTGATTGGTAAATGCACTGGGGACCTGATTATAGCACTTAAAACCTCAAAAAGCCAGATTGTCACCTTTAAAGTAATATTAATTCACAGTATTTGCAAATTACTGACTTGTCCCTCAGTTTGGACAATAATACAATCCCAGCCCAGCAGACAAATGTTTTTGAAAAAAGTCTCTCATAGTCTCCAAGGGTGTAATATTGTGAAATATTATTACAATTTCAAATAACAGTTTTCTATTTTAATATATTGTAAAATGTAATTTATTCCTGTGATGGCAAACCTGAATTTCAGTAGCCATTACTCCAGTTTTCAGTATCACATTATCCTTTAGAAATTCATTCCATTCTAATATGCTGATTTGGTGTTTAATTATTATTGGTGCTCAGTTATTAATAATGGTTTGTATTATTATCATCAGTGTTGAAAATAGTTTTTGATGCTTGATAGTGATATTCCAAATTCTTGATATTCCAAAACTTTTGATAGGTAGTGTGTATATATATATATATATATATATATATATATATATGTATGTATGTATGTGTATATCTATTAGAGTGTCACATTTGTTAAACTGTGCTGTATATGTCAGATAACATGACATGGATTACTGTATTTAACAATGCGGTGTGCTTGACGTTCCATTTCCAGTGTGATACATTAACCGGAAGTAATATCAGATGGGGTTTTCAACACTCTTTGACACATTCAGTAGACTACACCGATTGTCTCATGAAATTATTTAAGAGTACTAGTGAGGAACTAATGGTACTCTGCTGGGAATCAAGATATATGGAAACTCCTATGCACACTGGCAACAGTGATGTCTTCATTAGCAACGTGTTTAAGGTCTAACTTTTTTTAAAAGTAAGTTTTCATTTTTCGGTACATTCAGTTAATTTTTTATTTTAAAGTGTTTTGTTGAACTACTATTAGTGCAAAGACATTGAATTTCTTTCAGAGCTGCTTAACTGGGCTGAGTGCCCTGGTTTAATGCAATGTTCGATCTGGGAGCTTTCCAGATTCTGGACACAATGTCCATCGTCCCCCACTCACTGCGGTCGTAAACTAGCCAATTAATGTAAAAGCTTCAGGGATATCATCAATAAGACAGCAACATTTTCAGCCAGTGTGTGGCACACCAACGGTTTTAGTGTTGCACAAGAGCCGTGGGGCTTTAAAATAGAATCTCTGAAAGTAATAAAAGTAACTCTCTATTACGTAAGGCTGTCAGGCCTCAGGTGGCTATTTACTACTGCTCTTTTGTGTGGTCTGAGGTGTTGTGTGCATGTGCATGCACAATGTGAACACAGTAGTGAACGTTAGCGTCTGCGCAGTACCAATTATATGCCAAATATCATTACAAGAAAGTGCACTTGTTATATATTAATAATATGGAAAATTAGTTATTATTGTAATTTTATTAAAAAAAAAAAAATATATATATATATATATATATATAATTGAATAGGATAAATCAGATCCAAAATAGGCTATATATATATATAATATATGCCGGTTAAAAAAAAAAAAAGTGGGGGATTTTTATTTTCGTATGACAAAAAAAAAAAACTGTATAGATGTAATGAACAGTATTTCTTATGAAACATCAGGTAAATATAATTTATTAAAAGGATTGACTAGTTGTCACTTTTGCATAAATGTGTTTTGGTTTCTTTTCTGAATAAGGTCATATATGACTAAACCTACAGTAATAAGGCCAGTGAACTGTAAAAAAGTGCTTTGAACTGGAAAAAAAACCTAAAAGTCAGCATTCTGCAGATGGTACCAGATAAATCCAGGCTCTGTTTTGGCTTAATAAGGCCAAAGAGATAAACCTCGTCCCAATATGGCATATATGACACAGGTAGTTCATAATGCACCTGAGATACATTAATATGAATTACACATGCTCAGAAGCCACACTGCTTATTGCGCAGGTAGCTATTTTATCACCGTTGAGAGTTTTGCACATTTATTCATCAGGAGGAGCTGCTCACTGTGGAGGCTGAGGCTATAAATACAACAGAGAAACCATTTGATGGCTAGAGTAAATAGAGCCGCTGTAGATGTTATCTAGTAAACAGTCAGTAATTTCAACACGTCCCCCTTTCAGAAAGACACTTGCATGGTGGGTTTGTGATATCAAGATATGTCTCTGATGCCATCTGTGATGTCATGAGATTTCAAGCAAGAGGAGAACTGAGAGATAAGTAAAACTAGCAGGCAAGCTACGTGGAAATGAATGAATGTTTTTCCAAATATATATATTTTCTTATCTTTTCACTTCAATCCTGCCAACAGTTTACTCTGTATAAGCTTTTATTGATTGGGAACAGAGCTTGTCTCTCTGAATGACACAAACATTTGAAATCTGTTAAAGACATAAAACAAGATTTATAATTTTAATTTGCTCTGGCTGTTTCTCATCTGTTAGCATGTGATGCTGTTATCGTGTGTTATTTTTATAATAAGGGCAGAATGATTCAAACAAAGGTTTACACAGGTGTTATTCAGAATGTTCATTAAAGGAATACAGTCGTTCACCCCAAAATTTTATTAATCTTTATGTTTTTCCAACTCTGACTGACTGTCTTCTGTCAAACATAAAAGGAGATGTTAAACAGAACATCTTCATATTCTTTTCACACAGTGGAAGTTAATGATAACCAGGGGCTGTCAAGATCCAAAAAGGTCCTGTAAAGTGCCATTACATTTCCAAGTATTTTAAGGCATTTTAATGAATTATTAACTGAAAAAAATCCTCTTTCACAATACATTTTAAATATGCATTTGTTCATAGTTTAGTTCACTTAATTTAGTTACAAGACATGAAAATCAATAGCATTTGGCATCTTTGACCTCAAACCTGTTGAGACATATCATATTTGGCAAGTATTTATGCAAACATAATGAACCTATGGTGCTTTTATGGGGCTTTTCATCTTTTTTGGTGCTTAACAGCTCCTGGTGACCATTCACTTTCATTATATGGAAAAGTATGATGAACATCCTGTGTAACATTGAAAGAATGTCTGTTCCATGGATTTGAAACAACATTTAAAAATCCTCTTTCACAATACATTTTAAATATGCATTTGTTCATAGTTTAGTTCACTTAATTTAGTTACAAGACATGAAAATCAATAGCATTTGGCATCTTTGACCTCAAACCTGTTGAGACATATCATATTTGGCAAGTATTTATGCAAACATAATGAACCTATGGTGCTTTTATGGGGCTTTTCATCTTTTTTGGTGCTTAACAGCTCCTGGTGACCATTCACTTTCATTATATGGAAAAGTATGATGAACATCCTGTGTAACATATTGAAAGAATGTCTGTTCCATGGATTTGAAACAACATTTTAATTTTTGGGTGAAATGGGTGTCATTTTAAACCTGTATGCATTTCTTTCTTCTGCTGGAACACACAATATTTTGAAGAACGATAGTTCCAAACAACTTTCCATTGCATGGACAAAAAAGACACTTCTCAAAATATACTCCTTTATGTTCTGCAGAAGAGAGAATGTCACATAGGTTTGCAATGACACAAGGGTGAGTAGATATTCTCATTTCATTTTTGGGCGATCTATCCTTTTAACTGTAAAGAATCATATGCTGAAACTGCGACTGGTGTTTTCCAAACATCTTAAACAATAATAAAAACCCTACAATTCAATATGAGCATAACCCTATTGGTCAGTTTGGCTTGATATCACTTCATATGTCACACGCTCTGATCTCTTTTCAGGTGCAGTCAGCCTGGCCAGCAGATACAGGATCATATCTCTCTTCATCTTTTAATCGCTCTGACAGCTAACTTGAGTGATTGCTCTGACCTGTGGTTTGGCCCAGGGACTCGTTTCTTCGAATCATGTAAGGTCTATTTTTACTCCAGCTGTAGCTGTTTGCCCTATGAACCCCCTTCCTATTATCTCAAACAATTTTGTCTATAACCAACATGTGCACCAGCAAGCCTGCAGTAAAAGAGCAAAATGACTTCTAATAAGAAACTCCGTATTTTGGGAAGTGCATCGGTATCTCAAAAGATCTAAATTATGCAATATTAGATGATTCTTCTGGAATTTTTTTGTCATTTGTACAACAAACCATTATAATATGTTCTGCAAGGACCACATGAATCATATGGAGGCCAAGAACCGTAGACAGTGCTATTTAATAAACACAAGTGCTGGACACATGTGACCTTCAAACAGATGATTCAAACGTGTACATTCTCTTGATTCAGTGGAAATCACAGCTTTACCCCCCTTCCCTATAGGGGATGTTAGACAGTTTTGGGAGAGCACATAAAGACCATCTCTGTTTATGGGCTGCACTGTCCCTGCAATAACCTAAGATATACTACCTTAAATAGTCTGATGAACAGCTGCAGAAAAGCTGGAAAACATGCTTACACAATGTTGAGCATACCAATGATGTAATATCCTGTAGATGAATCCATTTGTAAATACTGTAATAAACCAGGCCCCCCTCAGTGACAGCTGATTCTGAGACCGTCCACCATGCATAAAGGCCTAGTTCAGCCAATTTTGCTATCATTTACTCACCCATTTACATTCCAAACCTGTTCTTCTTCTTTAGAACACAGAAGATATTTTGATACATGTCCATACAATGAAATTTACCAGGGTCCAGTGTTTATTTTTGACTACACTAGACTTTTTTCAATGTCTTTTTTAGTACTCAGGGCCATTTCTAGCCAATTTGACACCCTAGGCGAAATCCCTATTGATCCCCCCCCCCTATATATATATATATATATAGTTCTTTTCAGACACCAGTTGCTTGTCACATTGAAATTGGTTGTCATAGTAACGACACTAATTTGTGGCGATTCAGTGCATTGAGTTCCACAAATCTGAATGCATTATTTGTAAATTGACTGTTAAGATAAACATTTTGCACAATTTAGTATCTGTAATATCATTGTGTTGCCACTAGATGCCTGTATAGCCCTATGTAACAATCCCTAGTGGCTCAGACATTGCACATAATTTACACATAAATCACACATAAATTAATTTGATTAAATTTTGATTTAGATACTATATACTATACTACTACATATTGGTTAAATATTATCAATGGCTACTTTTTTGTCTTTATCT